CGCGATAGCATGTGAGACAGCCACGCAGGGATAAAACCCTCCATTACTCCATTCAAAGAGTCGTTCCGCAAATTCTGAAGGTAGATTCGAGTTCAAGAATCCAAGACTCCTACAACGGTGTGCACCTCATTGGAAATGGCCAGGCTGACCTGTCGACCTTTCCTGGTAAGAAAAATGCAGGAAATACCAGCACGAAATCCCTCTTCTATGGAACCCCATGACGAACCGCGTTTGTACGTGCATAAGGCAAGGAAAGGGCGTGTTTGGACGCGTTTCACTTGTTGGTGTCAGGTCTTCCTTCTTGGCAGCTCCCACTCCCCACTCGGAATGGAGCGAGCCAGGGGGAGGAACGAACACACCATCAGGACACCTTAAAATAAAAACTGGGCGTTGCCGTCATCACTGGGCGGGACTGTTTCGCTGCTTCGTCGCGAGCAGGTCACGCTTTCGTCACGTATCTTTGAGCTATGGAAGAAGTGAATTCACTACTTGTATGTACCAGGTCGCACCTGAACATCAAATTAACGAGAGGCGCGCCCCTAGTGACTCAGTTCACAGTTTAGAACGGAGAAGAAAATTATATAAAATCGTTTGGCTTCCAAACAAAAGTAGTCTTGTGAGCAGTACTATTTTGAACTTTTACTTTCCTTTTCATGTTTTTCAACCATATGATACAATTGATATTCATGACGATTACGGTAGGTATACAATATGCATGCAGAAGTGAGAAAAAAATTCGAGCATAAAAATTTCTTTCAAAAGGACACTTTTCAACAACATCGAATAACAACAGAGAAAATGAAACAACATAATGATGTTCAATGATGATTGCATATTATGTAGCTAAGGAAAGAGAGACTATACGATTGAAAGAGGAAGGGAAAAAATATGAGGAGCAAGCTCTCCTCTACATACAGAAAAATAAAATGAGCTGGCACAATACGCCGTATACAATTATGCAGCACTACACGTTCGTGTCCGAGGTTTGAATTTCCGTCGGATGCACTCGAAGCTCAAGTGGTATGGTTTGAGAATATTCCAATCTGAATATGAAGTTATTGTAGCAGTTTAGGTAATCTCTGGGTAGTAGAGAAGTTTCCAGTACATTACATTCACGCGAGGCGTATGCGATGCGTGCGCGTGCTGGATCTACCTCACGGCCTGTCATGTAGCGCATCGGGAGAAACCACTCTCGAGCGGCGTTGGGCTCTAGTGAGCTAACGAGGTCTTTCACGCGGCGAGTCGCGCGAGAACGCCAGAGTTGCACTACAGTATCCGCGCGAATTACATTTATAGCTAAGGATTCGCTCCAGTTCACGGCGTGCTCTAAAGACTAGCAATGCCGCGGAGAACTTTGTAATTTGAACGGTCCATTAGCCAACAGAGCTCGTACGTAAGGGCCGCGACGTCGCAGGCCACGCCCACCGTCACCGCTACCAACGGCAAATTTGCCAGTTATCCGGTTGAACCATTTCGTGCCTGTTCGCCTACACTCTTTCATAGAAGATACCGTCATCTCTAAGGATCGTTAGAAAGTTGCCTGTGCTGATGCATACACCGCCGAAAACGGACTGAACCAGGACTAACAATCGTCCTGACAGGTAAGTAATTTATATGAAGCATACCACTAAACCTTTTGCATACTCATGCCACCATGATTGGGGCAATGTGTATGAGTACGAATTTCGCAACAGATACTAATTCACACCTTACAGAAAATAAGAATAGCACCTATTCGATATAGTCTTCCAGCAGAACTCACCGACAAAAAGCCGCGATACCGCTTTCGATTCCGTCAAGACTCGAAAGGAGACTTGATCCTCCTCGACCGGAAGAACAACGAGACTCGGTTGAGTGCCTGCAATCATGGATACACATATCGGGGAATAAAGTTATAAAAAGGGCAAATCTTCAATAAATCCAGTAAAAAGTGAGCGGAGTCGTCGCGGGCGGACTCAAGTGTAGTACATAGTAAAAGTGTTGTCGAGGGTCTATCTGTCAAAATAGATGAAAAGTGTGGAGAATCGGTACAACATCTATACATAGTGTGAAATATGTTTAAGGTGAATGTGGGATTGTGTCGCGGCAAAAAGGGGCGGAATTATCCGGGGGCGGGGCATGTAATGTAATGTATGCAAAAAATGTGTGTGATGGGCATTTAGTGCAAAACTGGCAAAGAAGCCGCTTCGCCGAAAAAGTATAAGCATAGTCTATTGGATGGACGGCGTTTAGGGAGATAAGCGACCATTCGGGATTCGGTCCCGGGTGCATCCCGTTTGAGCAACCATTCCTTCCCATCAAGACCGACTACTTGGCAGCCTTGTTTAGGGAAATGAAAATACTCACTTGCTCCATCTGCTGAACTTCGTAGGTCATGCTGGCAAAGGCCGAGTCCCCTTCACAAGCCGCTGTAACTCTTAATGGAACTTGAGCTCGTGGCGAATCCTAAAAGGATTGGACAAGGCCAAATGCTTTGTCCCTTATGCATTTATTCCATCGTGTTTTGGGAAACCCTCAATGAAAGCCAGTTCTTCTCACAAGCGCATTACAGCACCTTCAGTCTTACAAGGTTTCTTGTTAGATTAGCAGGGGCAACAGTACGGGCCAGGGACGGAGAACGGGGTCAGAAGTGATTACGGAATGATCGGTACAAAAAAAACTCTTTTCTGCTATTCTAACTGCTTGAGCTAACATTAAATATCTTCTCAAAGTTTCAAATAAACAAAAGAAAAACAGGGAGCGGCACCCAATCCTCTGAAATGCGCCTTGTATCGGGGTGTTCATATTTTCAATCACCCAGCTAATTCCATAGTGATGAATGAGCTCGGCTGGGATAGTCCTAGGACACCTCCGTGAAATTCTTTCACCCTCCAGATGTGCCTTGGAGGTTGGTGCAATAGAAAGCCGGCCCGGGGGTAGCGTACAGCATGCGGGAAACGGGGAAATTCAGAAGAAATGGAGAATCAGGAACGAAGAAAACTTTAGTCAAGGCCAAAAACGGACCCTCATCTCTGATGTGTTTTGCTTAATAACGATGATGTACAATCGTTTTTCGCTGCAGACGCGGGGCGTAAGGATGGAGGAGGGGCGGAGTCGACAGGCGCTTGTACGTTTTCCACCAATTGTTGTCGCTTGCTCGACTCAACAATTGGTGGAAAACGGGCTGGCGCGCCACAAAACCCATTTTATCTGCACGTACTAGCCCCACAGCAAGAGTTGCATGCTATTTGTGACCCTACGTGATCCATGGCGCGTGATCTTGTAAAACGCAACAGCGCTGTTGAAATTTTTCTTGTCTCACCTCCTAGAGAGATGATCAGTTGTGAAAGCGTTTGGCGACGGCAAAAAACCTTGATTCGTTGCTCCAAGGTCAGCAGAGGATTGAAGAGATTGTTCGAAAGCGCCCGAATCGGAGTACCTATGAATTGTATGAATTGAGTCAATATCTAGAATAACAAATCTTTTACTAGTTCTACACAGAGCGATTACTCACATTAAATGGCTGTCCGCTAGCGATGCGGGAGGAGGGAATGGAAATCGGGTGGGAGTGGTACGATGGCCAGCGACGTTCATGTATGCCGACTCAACTCGCACCGCTCCCGGCTCGCCTAAACGGAAAACCTTTTTTGCCAGTAATTTGCACAAATTTGCAACATATTCTAACCCTTCAAAAACGTTTGTGATCTATTATTGGAAACACTCAAGACATGCAAGCAGCGGCTGAGGTGGCTGTGATTGGTGGAAAAATAGCTCCACCAATCACAAACGCTGCTTCTATGGGCGGCGCATCTAAAAGCATCTCTGCCATACAGACACAGGAGTTCTCTCTTTCAAGCTTTCTATCGAAGCATGTGTTCTCGAGGATGCCTTGGATGCCATGAATTTACCAAACATTCCTAAATTCAACTCACCTAAAAAAGGGACCGAGTAATGTGTGTGGGTTGAGAGTTCCGGAGCAATCCAAGCAGGAGATCCAATAGCTGAGTCTACAGATGGGGCAGCCACCTCAGCGACAGCGCGAGGTACAGAATAATCCGATTCTTCTTTCACTCGAAACCTTTCAGACCCTGGGTCTGAAACTTAAAATGCAGTGGTCATGAGAGCTTGTCGAACGATTTCACAATAGAGTCTGAATAAGGAGACTTGAGATCTACCCCCATACCTGTATGTTGTCGAACTAAACGTGGTGAACAGTCATTCGGCTGATTACAGTATTGATGCTCTTGATCTGATGAGTGCAACCTCTCTGACTCCTCAACAGCTTCCCCCATAACCAGTGCCGAGCCACCTCCATCAACGTTGTCGTCGCAGATAGTGTGTTGTGGCTGGAATCCTCTAATAATCCCCGCCCATGAGGTTACAGTTACTAGTGACTAAATGATTGAGATCATTGTAATGGTGAAAGCAAATTGTGATAGCAACTGACATCTGATGGAAGAAAGACTGGTGCTGAAAGCGGTCGTGCACGTAACTTCCTGCTAAGGCTGCCATCACTTGAAGGAGGCGGTGGGGCGCCTTCTATATCATCGAATATGGTGTCACTCTGAAAAAAGAAGTTAATTGAGAATGTCAAAACAGAGTGTGCTGAACTATGATCGCATGGGCGGGATTACTTGACGCACCGTGCCTTCTCACCAATGAACTCCTCATTCACCGATGAAGGAGGTCCACCACTGAAGGAGACGCGAAGACTCAAGTGACCCCGCCTGTTCGATGAGCACGCAGCGCGCGTTGCATGCGCAGCGCCCACCTTTCATCAATTGTTCAAAATTGAATGTTCCATTCATAATTACCATTCACATCTACACATATACCCCAACAACCTGCACGTTTTCCCTTCAATCTCATGTAAGGCTCCTTGACTTCAAACCCTGTTCAATAAGATCTAGACAGCTGGATAGTCTATATTCCACTTCTGGCGAAATGCCAGATTACGCGAACCAGTACTCAAAATCATTCGCATTACTTTAACTCTACTGGAACTAGGAGGATAAAGTAGGTTGGGGATGAAAGGTCGCCAAAGAGACTAGTTCACGCCCCTTTCTGCCCAACTGCACCCTCTCCTCGCATTAACTTTGTCGAGTTTCGCTTCGCCCAGCAAAGAAAGGTGCGCAACCCCCTTTTACCCCCCCCCCCCCGAAGTTTTACCTAGGGAGGAACCATTCACGAATAATACAAGCTAAGACGTTGCCGTGCGATGACGATAGAGTCTCAGAAGCAACCTAATATTGACACTGCATGGTATTATCATTTGATATTAACGAGTACTTAACTACCAATGATTAACATTGTTAATGCTGCTGGCCATTAATCGGCCAGGGGCGCAGGTGTTAATATGATAGCATCCTAGGGCAATGAAAATTGTCTGCCTCACTTCTGCATCCTGCAGCATCCAATCCAGGTAGTCCACAATCATTTTGAAAGTCGGGCGTTTTTCTCGTTTCTCCTGTAAATTTATTTTCATTTCAAGATACTTTCTCAATCAATAAACATAACATTGATCACTATAACTTATTTATTCACTTCTATCTATCACCAATAACTTGAAGGTAGAGTGCGCGGTCGTGGGGGCTGTTGTCATCACTGGTGGAATGGACGAGTGGGGTGTGGCCAAACGCCCGCTCGCATCCCTTTCACCAATGGCGCTGGCAACAACTTCCCGCCTAAGCAACCGTGCTCACCCCCTCAGAATAACAAAAGCAATGAGACCATTAACTACGGTAGCTCCGGGGTCACAAGACAGACCCGTTGTTCCCTGTATTCTTGGGCTCAGTTCTGAAAGTCGAGGAAAGCAAATCTCAAAAGCATGTGGGAGTAGCACAGGGCAATGTCTAGGGCACGGCTTCGGAAAGGAATGAAGTCGACAGAAACGAACAATCCAACCTATTTATTTTTTTGTGCAATATCGGCCTACTTTTGTAATATCACAAGTTAATGAACTGTTTGCTGCCCTATACTGCTAGTTCATATTACATGTTCTTCATAGAATCGATATGCCCAAGAGAAGGTCCGTCCTTTGAATCCTCGACCAGTCGCTTCTTCTTATTTATGATACTCTCGGTTTCTTAACCAGGGGATCCAATACACAAATGAAAGGCTCCAAGTAACCACGTGGGCTATAGCGGTCTACAGCTGCATCTGACATGGAGCAAGAGAAGTAACAAGTACTTTACTCCTGGAGCAAAGTCATCCTACCAATAAGAAGACCCTCTCAATCGCTCATGGACCAACAAGATTGGTGTTTTGGTTTTGTGTCTCATGAGGTTGTTGGGTGGAGCAGCGCTATTTGATAGGACCTTCAGAGGCCGTAGGTTTTACCGTTCAGGCAGAAATGTCTGCTGCCCCACCAGGGCACATCGTTCTTGGGGAATCCCCAACAGGGGAGTCGTACTTGCTCATTGTTGGAAGGAGGGGGGTCGCACCAACCCTAAAAAAAGGGTGGCGGGTCGTATGGACTCGACCAAAATTCGCAACCAATGGTGTGCCCTGTGCCCCACGATAATGCTAATCATTTGTAAACAACTAAAAATTACGAGGAGTACTGTATCCTTCTTACCTGCCAACACGATACCATTAAGTCATATATCTCAGATGGGCACTTCTGTGGGGCTTCCATCCTGAAACCCCAAATTTCGAACAAATGCTGACAAAAGAGCTGAACCGTTGACCCAGTAGGAACGAAACACTTACCTGTAACCACCTTTGAGCACAGAGTAAAGCTGAGGCATAGCAATTGTTGGATATGGCGTTCCTCCCATGGTCATGATCTCCCACAACAAAATTCCATATGACCACCTGAACACCAATTGAGACGGAACTCGTTCATTACATTTTCATGAGAAAGTAAGAGAATCGATTTCTTAAGAAATTTACTAACACATCACTTTCAACAGTATACATATGGGAATCGAGAGCTTCCAATGCCATCCACTTGATCGGCAGTCGTCCATTACCTTTCTTCCTGAAATAGCAAGAGGTGAAATATCCACCATTTCTACCTCACGACCTAGAGTAAATGAGTGGTCTATAGAAATCGACATGTAAAGTCAGCGACGTATAGTGACGTTGGAGTAGGGGGTGTAAGTTGTTTACCCTCGTGAAGTGAGCCACGTATTTGACTTCTACTCAGTTACACGTCATCGATTGGATACCTAATTCACAAAAGGCAGCGAATTCTAGTCTAACCTAATATAAGAGGTGTTTTTATACTACCAGATTAAATTGGTACCTCTCTGTCACTAACAGCCATGGAAAACTTTTTTGGATTGGTTAGATTAAAGGCACACCTCGCATTTACCTGAGAAGTGGGATCTTTCCTCTGTATAAGAAGCGCAGGTATGGAGCCATGTTGGGTCCGACACCTCACTCGAAATAGCGTAGCAACGGCGCCAGAAGCTCGTGTATGCTAGGATTCCCGCCCATGCCGGATTTGGGTAAGCGTGGCTATCGCATCTCAGGGACGTGGGGTGGGGAGGGGGAAAGCAGTACGGAAGCAGTATCGAAAGCATGACTTGGTGGAGAGCTTAGAACGACCAAAACGAACTCAGCTTGCCCCTGCACAGTAAAAATAAAGTTCAATTTTTGTGCCTCATACAAAAATTTAGTGAGCACCGTCGCGTTTGAATTTCTTGCCTTTGCTACGTGTGCGACTGTGCAGCGCTCGCTTACAGGTGTATTGTACTTCGCTGAGCTTCCCTTTGCGTTTCCACTTCATGCTATTCGAAAATGCCGAAAATCAACGAAGAGTCTTCTAGGGCGTTTTTGACGTTCTCGTCGCTTTTTTCATACAGGTAAGTCGACTGCCACCTAAAAAATTAATGTGAGCACGCCACTGCCCACGACATTTAATTGCAGAATATGTTTTCAAGTCCTAAAACCGAACCGTGGAGTTGATACGTGGAATGTGAGCAGCCTGCTGTTGTCCCTTTCATTGGAAAATTGCCTAGCTTTTGGAAACTGGAAGCCAACATAAAAATTTCTTGAAATGACAGAGCGCGTATTTGAGGGAATTACTGCTCCTGTATACAATTTGATGTGCTATAGACCTTTGTCCCTGACCTAAGCGCTGAAACAATGACCAGCTAGGAGAAAGAACTGAAACTGAGGAATGAAATCGTTGATAGTTTCTCCTCTCACCGGTAGTAATCGTTGCAGTGAACATCCCTTGACAGACCAAAGTCAGATATCTTCATGACAAAGTTCTCAGCGACAAGAACATTCCTGGCCGCTAAGTCTCGATGAATTATCTGAAATTATGCAACTGAAATAAGGACGTTTGGTCCCGAGGTGCTCGGAAGATTGAGTCAGTTTATTGCGTATGAAAACTGGAGGCACAAGTCTGTAATGGCAGCTGAACCACCAGTCACAGACACGACTCACATGCTCGGCAAATAATCAGGGGACGCGGTCAAGACATTCGTAAGTCGCCGCGCGGCGCATTGCGGCAGTTCGAGTAAGGTTTCGAACAACGGCAACAAAGCTAACATTTCTAGCTCATGATCTCCTCTATTCGAGTCCTCCACTAGTCAGAAAGAGCTCTGTTAGGACACCGTTTATGCCCCAGTAAACTATCCAGCGCGGCGGGCGAGATGGCTGGCCCTGCCCTTTAGCGCGGCGAATTAGGAGCGTCTTGTCACAAGCCAGTAAAGTAGTAAGTATGAATTTTTTTCAAAAAAGGGAACCTAAGATAAAAGCTGTCTCTACAACACATCATTGCTTCTGAGCATTGCCATATAAATGCATATTTGAGACATCAAGGTTGCAGTCAAATTGCCGTGATATACACCAGTAATTCAAAGATGATTACCTTTTTGTTTGCCATGAACTCCATCCCTTTTGCAACTTGCCAAGCAAAATGAACGAGATGCTTGTGAGTAATATTGTGAATGGCAATCTAAACAGTAACCAACAAATATGTAGTAATCCATTTTACAATGTCACCCACATACCTGTTTATCCTGCTTGTCCACCCATTTCCGTGGCTCCAAATAGTCGGCTAATTCTCCGCTGTGTTTTGCCATGGCCTCTTGCTTGTCTTCCTTTGGACGATGAATGCGAAGGAAATCTCTGTAAAACTCATTTAAGAACTGAGTGGTTTATCAGGCAACCAGTAAAGTTCGTGCGCTTTTTTTAATTGTCTACTTTTATGAATTATATTCAGTAAACTAGATCTAGTGGTAAGGTAACTTTGAATACTCAAGACAAGTCAAGACATATGTCAAGGAGTGTCATTCAGTGTATTTGTTAATTTAGATTACTTTCAATTAAGGCGAACAGAAAAGGTGTGGTATTCCACAAGGACAATGCAAGACCACACACTGCAAGAATCACTCAGAAAACAATAGCGCGACAAGGACGGGGAATTCTACCTCACCCTCCAAGTGACTATCATTTGTTTTTGGCCTTGGACAACCACACGAGAATCGGCGATTTGAAAATGAAGTGGCATTGAACAACGAACTAAAACTTTCCTTTAATTGCCAAAGCAAGATTTTTACAAAAATGGACTATATGCTCTTTCGTCTAAATGGGAAAGTATATTACTTGCTGAGCGTAACTATTTTTTCGGAATAAATCTAAGTTTAACCCGTTTTTATGCTTATTATTTCGCTACCTTCAAAACCGCACGTAATTTTTGGTTGCCATATACTTATAATTTCTCGAGAAAATTTTCAATGTTCATCGATGTTCATCACATGCCTCTAGCCCTGGCCAATTACCCTTCCACTAATGACGCGGTCCGTCGCACGGTGTACAAGGCGAAGAGGTAGGATACCTTACGATTCTTCAGCGACTGTACGGCATCGAGATTGCGATATTAGATGACCGCTTGCTCCTTCCCTTCCCCCCCCCCCAATCTTCTCCTTCCGATAAGGTTGGGGTGGGGATGAATGGATGAGTACGGATACGACTTCTTCTTTTTCACTTCGTTAAGTACGTCTCGCAGTAAAGTGGAGGTAGCCTTAGCAAGGTGCGAAGGAGAAGAATTCGTTCCAATATCCCCTTTCACAGAAGGGGAAGGGCATATTATATGGAGCAAGAGAAACGCTAAAGACCAACAACTGGGAAATTCTCTCGAAGCTTGGAAAACTTTCTCTCCAAGGCGGACACGGCCACCATTGACCAAGTAGGCCTCTCATTGATGGCATTTCCCCAACAACCCTGTCTCCAGTCCCCTTCTCTACTCAATACACCTGCTCCCTATATTACCTAGCTGAGATGAGCAGCATAGTGGGGAATTGTACAAGGTCTGCGTCCTTATTGCTAGTAAAAAAATCAAAAACTGCCACATAAATATAAATAAATACGTTCTAAAATAGAGGGAGTGAATAGGAAAATTCTTCATAAGGGTCACTGAAATTAGATGCGTCAACAAGTAAACTGGTTAACTCACCTTAAGTTACCATATTTGCATAACTCTAGCACTACATAGAGTGGTCCAGAACCAGTACAGCACCCGATTAATCTTAGCAGATTGTCGTGACGTCCAATTATCTGCATTGTTGCATTTATTTGTTTTTATCCCTGTTGCATTGATGTCGAACTGAGCATTTTTACGGAATTGCCAAAGGCGCGCCTTGGAGGGTTCTCTTTCTTTCATCTAGCACCCCACTCTCACAATGTGGAGTGAGAATATCAACACCTGCCCTTGAATTCATCTCGGAATTGGCCCTTCGAACAGTGAGAGCATGATACAAAGGGCTTTATAACCGCTCCGCTGGTCCTGCTTAACTGTTGGCACAGGTGTACCACCTCAAGAATTCCTTCAGTTAGAGTTATTTGAAAAGCCGTTCAGATCTTCAGGAGCTACAGTCCATATCGGAGGGCAATGTGGGCGTTTCGAAGACGGTACCCTGGTTCATTAGTCTTCGCACACGTTTTTGCTTCTCTTTGGTCTGGATCCTTGCAGCAGCCACTGCGCCCACAACCACGTATACTCGAAATCCCTGAGATCGGGTAGGCGTGGCTGCGTACTTGAGTTTAAAATGGAGGCGGCCCCGGTTTTCGTGAGATATTGTCATTTTGGAGCAGTCGTAATCATGTCTACATCCAACATAGAACAGGAGAGCAGTTGTTTGAAATTGAAGTATCCCACGAGAAACCCGTGCTATGCCATGCCTAAAAGCCACGCCTACTCCGTCTCAGAGGTAAGCAGTGTACTTGAAAACGACCGTTTGCCATTTGATGTGAGCAGCACTTTAATTCCAACATCACAGCATTCAAATGTAGTACCACCTACCTTACTGTTGTGAACATTTCCCCTATACTAGACCCCCATCCCACCCCTGGAATTTCTAGGCTCCTGGAGTGAAAGTTTAGGAGCTGTTAACTGTAAGTGCACAGCTAGGAATCTGTTTAATAAGGGAATTAAAAATTAGGTATTCAAGGACTTACTTTGATGTCTCCATCTCACTAACTAAGATCCGATCAGCTCTTTTCTCGTGTGTGCAGAATGACTTTAACTTTCTTTACAAGCTACCGGGAGATACCTGAAATTTTTCATATTTCGAGTAACATCGGAAGTACGTATTCAGTGAGCGATAAATATTTCACATGTGGGGGTATGTCTGGATTCATTACGATCAGGACGAAGATTTGCTCTCCAAAACTTCGGCGACCGAACGCTCCTTCACCAAGAATGTCAACCCAACTCGAGCCTCAAACAGCAGCAATTAGGACAGTTATCGTACAGTATTGGTTGGGACATAAGTAATGGCGTTTTTTTCAACTGAAAATTTGTTCAAAAGTGAAATGTTTTGCAAGCAGCCTGATAACATCTGATAGGAACTCTCACGTGATTTTTAAAATATCAAAGCGGCTTTGATTGATGGATAATTTTTGTGGAATTTTTAGTCGTTGAAGTTGAAGCGAAGTCGGCGAAAATTAGCACCTTCGACAGCTGCCTCTATTTACGTGTACTCGAAGTGCTCAAATCGTTTAAGCTTGCTCCATACATTTTGAAAAGGTCGTGCTAGAAGGCTCTCAGCATAGGGAAATCTCAATAGGACGCTTTTGGAAACTTAATTTTTCGAGAATTTCAAAGTTGTCAACCTTCACCTCGCCGATATTGGGCAGGCTCACGTCTGTTCCACCGGAAATTTCATGCTATAGTTGAATTAATTGAAATGGTTTTGATATTCTAATATTAAGAAGAGTTTGCTATATAAATGATATTAAGCTTGCTTGCAAAACATTGACTGTTTGGAAAATTTTTCGAATGAAAAAAAACGGCCATTTACTATTAGCCAGCCCACTGCTAGTGGCTGGCTATAACTGCTATGGGCTGGCTTATAAGTAATGGCGTTTTTTTCAATTCGAAAAATTTGTTTCAAAAGTGAAAAGTTTTGCAAGCAAGCTTAATATCGTTTAATAGCAAACTTCTTGTAGTATTAGATTTATCAAATTCAAATTGTTAATTCAACTATTAGCATGAAATTTCTAGATAGAGGCAGTTGTTGAAGACTGCTAATTTTCGCCGACTTCACTTCCAAATTCAAACGACTAAAAAATTTACAAAAACTATATCCCTCAACCAAAGCTTTTTTGATATTCTTTACTACGCAGAAGTTTCCTATTCAAATGATATATAACTTGTGCAAAACATTTCACTTTTAAAAAAAATTTTCAGTTGAAAAAAAAACCCATTACTTATGTGCCACCCAAAGCTGTCAGCTGCAGCAACTAGGGAGTGTCAGAGGGCTAGGTTATAGCAGCGACGCCATGCTCGCCCTCCATCAGTTGTTCAAGCGGGCAACCGGCAACAATGTCCGTCAAAAACCGGACCGGCGTCACGTATAATTCGTAGTCCCGCTGGACACGCCCTAGCGTCTGCAGCGAAACGACTGATTAAGAAAGGTGATTCTGCAGAAGCGCACCTTGACGAAGCGATTTCCCAGAGTGGATCGGGGATCGATTTCGTAGTCGACAGTCAGCGTCAAATCCGAGCTGAGACGTGGCGTCGTCGCCTTTCGTTGAGGGGGCTTGCTCGACAATCTGAAATTCGTAGTAACACTGCCATGCTAAAACTTTCTGTAGTTTACAGTACCCTACCTGATTTGGTAGGTCGAAGGAAGGTCGAGCAACCTTCTTTTTCTTCGAGTTTACGGTTTATGCGTCACAGCCACCTTGAAAATTGAGCCCTTGAGTGGAAATATTAGGTGTCAGCAAAGTTCGTTGGCATTTGTACAGCGTCGCGTTTACGCACGCGCCTTGTGATTTTGCATAATGTTCGACAATACTGAAGGTTACTCGCGATGGAGCATTCTCTGAGCTAGCTAGCTCTAAATTTCCATTCCTTGATTTTCCACAATAAGACAGTGAAGATTGTGTGATAAGTTGCTGCGACTACTACAATCTGTACATCTCCAGATGTCAGGCCACGACAGGATGCGTCTACAAGTTTGGTGATAACCCCTTCTAAGAACTGGATGTCAAAATGGGGGATTCGCTTCACAATGGGAAAAACTATGGCCATCGAAGATATGCCGAGTGTTTCTGGTTCTCTTTCGTCACGGGCGATCGTCCATATAGCATCCTAGACCCACACAATTGCCACCAGTGAAAGCAGAGACCCTCTCTAAAGAATTTACAGGAGGTCAAGGTGAAGCTGCGCCTTGTCCAGAAACTTGCAATTCCGGTGGTTGCTCGTGGGACAACGCGCACCCTCACAAGCGCAGAGATACTCAGGCGTCCTGGACATGCTGCGACATCAAACGTTCACGCATCCACATGTAACCCGCGACATCAGTCTTGCCTATACACATTTCGGTCCATGCGCGAAATTCCCTGGACGGAAAACAGCTGAAGAAGCACGCGCGACCTCGCAGGACGTTGATCGAGGACTTGGCGCGAGTCGCGTGACTAGGCGCGTCTGACGAGGATGATGGCCTCTCCGCGATCAGTGTGGCGAAAGGTGGTGGGTATGCATGGAGATTATATTCATGGACCGGTTAAGTTCAACTTTGTGAGTTATCATTCATAGCTCTGCAAAAACGAATGGCATCGAACTTTGTGAACACCAATAAAACATCCCTGGAGCGGCTAAGATTAAGGCACAAATATACCTTCTTCTTTTTTGGCATGAGTCAACACGATCTTTTTCCAGAATCCCGACGTTTCTTTGTATCCGTAACAGAATGTAATAGGCAAGCACAGGCTGAGCAATCAACGATAGTAACATGACTATTAGAAGTAGGAAGAACTGAAAACACTAGCAATGTCTAGGCCATCGCAGGCGGCGCGCTGACAATGCTCACTTTTTGTGCTTGTCAGTCTATACACGCCGCTACCTTAAGACGCCCCCGGCTTCAAGTAATTGCATGGTCGTCCTTCCTTATGCAGTAGTTTTCAGCTCCCAAGCTAGACACTGCTCTCACTCTCGCTGACATCCTCAGCGGAGCGAGAGCGGGCTAGAATCTACGCTCAAAGTTCTGAGTTCTAACGCCTGCCCTCAGTTTGGACCCGCACTAGCTAGCTGCCCTCTGACGGAGAGCCTGCTCAGTTGTTTCTTGTTGGGAAGGCAGTCATTAATCGGAACTGCCAGTATTTTTTGCTGACCGCCGCTCAGTGCGCTCGTAAATAATGCTGGCTCCCTTCATCACATATTATCATTGAGCAGTACAGTCAACAGCACGACCATCTCGTAGGTTGCAACGCCGTAAAAATCATGAATTGATGCAATTTCTGTGGTGCAAAGGCCCACGCACTTCACTGCACTAAAACACGCTTGCTACCGTAACCCTATGTTCGGATGCCGGCTTTCATAAATGTTCCTTTTCTTTTCCACAGCTTTTCTCTGTGCTTTCCGTTGTTTATTCTTTTGTTTTCTTTTCTTTCGCTATTCGGTGATATCCACTACGTAGGAGATGGGACAAATGTGATTCTGAGCCAGGGCTTGCCCACAGAGACCGCCGCGGAAGGCTGTGACGGTCTCAGTAGCGATTTTGTTCATGGGTCTTCTGAGGGCTCGTGTTCTTCTTTCCTTCATTTGAGGAATTACTTTATCAGCTGGCATTGTATCATTATTGGACAGCATTATCCTTAGACACTTTTATCGGGTAGCTGTCTTAACCCGTTGAGAGAGCGCAGACAAAGCAAAGATCACGTGGTGTGATTGCCCGACGTTTTGATACCCTTGTCCCTTCCCTCTCAAGAAAAGCCCTCAACGATGCTTACCTCAGCAAATTGCAGAAGTGAAACCAACAATATGTTCTTCATATTAAGAATAGGTCCAAAAGAAACTGACGTATCTCCATGTCGAATACTCGGGTCTGGATTTCCTGTGAGCAAGACCATCCCGAGAAATTCGTTCACTGCTTAGTGTCGCATTGCAAGCGACTTTAATTAGGGAGTATGGAAAAAACATTACCGGTGAAAAAATCAGGTTTAGAGAGCTATACCGCATCCGAGTCGTGCAATGTCCTGTGATACATGCGTAAATACCTTGGTCTTCTAGAGTAGACAATTCACACAAGGTATTAGGGTGCTTCGTCATCATTCGTCACACATTAGCATCCTCGAATTTCAATACCAGTAAGCGAAGGACCTAAAACATTCCTGTAAGGTGAGTTCGTTCACTCAAATTAGTTGCTAACACGTCATTCACTTAAAGGCACTCTCCGCGCCGAGCCTGATGGGCGAGGCGAAGTAACTGTGTTATGGCGCAGAGCCTCGTTCTCATGATGTGGCCTCTTTCTGTGGGATGAACACAAAGCAGGAACACTTCCGTCACGAAGGTGTGATGGTAGCGGTGATTCCGCTCCGTATATGAACGCGGAATGAGCCATTAAAGTAGGGTCCGCGATAAGTGCGCTGGCGTAGCTTGAAATATGGAGATTTTTTAGTGATTTGTCCCGGAAAAAAGTTGCCAGACGGAACGTCGACAAACGCCTTGAATAGGGACCTTCCAGCCTCAAACAAATGTACGGGTAAGGCCAAAACAAAGCGCCGGAACGGAGTTGGAACAGTCTTGTCGGCTATTCCTTGTAATGAACCCTATGACCTGAGAGCCAGGAGAGCTTAAATTTATGCTACCTGTCCGTAACATCGCTTTCGGCTGAAGGCGGCTTTGAAGGCGAACTCTGGAGGCGGAGTCACTGCGAGGAAGGGGAGGCGTCACTGCAGCTACTCTGAACCTCAACTCCTTTACCCTACACCTTTGCGTTGCATAACCGGCACAGGTCCGCGGACCTTATTACCGCTCCATACAATCTTATTCTCATAGAAATCATTGACCGTTTCTTCGAAGGCGTCCTTCTGTCGACAGTATGATGGGGTAGTGAGATAAATCCTAAGTTGTAGGACTTCTGAAAAACGCCTTAAGTTACGCCTCCCGTCTACCGTCGTCTTGAGCACTAAAATTTCCATACGGAGTCCAAGCATGGAGCGCTCGGTGATAGAAAAGGTGAGAGTGCACGTAGTAGACGGGGATTGGGGGAACGATGCAAGGTGTAGGTGAAAAATACTATTCTTCTTGGGCCGCTTCCAGAGGACGTCTTTCGTTCTAGCGTCTGCCGGGACAAGGGAGTAGAGCCATATCAAGACCCCTTGGCGTCATTGCCATGTACCCTCGAATCTCCCAAAACTTACTTATCCACGACCGACCCCCCCCCCCTTCCCCGCCCCAATATCTGGCGAACAGCCATCCACCTGGTCAAGTATCATGTAAAGTAAATCTGAACGTCCGAAGACCGACTGAACAGAAAGGCTAGTATCGAAAGATTGCACTATTATCAAGAGCGGTGAATTATACTCGCATGAGGCATGCCGTAGGCAGGGTTTTCTTCCCGCTGGAGACTCCACAGCCTACAACGAAAACCATCCAAGTGACCCGGTAGCTGGAACCCATTTCCAAGGTCCCTCACTTCCACATCTTCTTCACTCAGTCATTACAGCAATCGTTTGTCAGTTCTGCTCTGCCTGGTGGCGGATTCCTTTATCATGCTGGACAAAAAATAACGTGAAATGGTGTGAGAGTCAATCAACTAGCCTCGATCGCATCCATTTCCGTGTACTTGAACATGTACTCTTTCGCAGTCTCATTGTAATAGTGCAGTGATCCGTTCACACGATCGATTCGTACCCAGAAGATGTACGGCGTCAAATCGGATACGACTCGGCAATGGAATACAGCTGTTCCATTCACATTTACCTGAAACATGAACTTCAATAGCCAAAGAGTAGCGATGAATTCAACAGCCAAAATGGTCCAAGTGGATTCACACTGCGCCCTGTTTGGCAAAACGCCAAGCCGGTTAAGTCATGATCACTGCAAACGACAGGGCGTGTGACAGGGAGTGGATTAGATCGCAGCCAGGGTGGCATTTTATACCTATAATGTCATAATGGATCCAGAACAACTGGCAGAAAAGGCTGCCGTAGCTGCGCTCAGATTCACACCCCCTCGCACATCCCATCGCTTGCAGGGATCAAGGTATTAATTATTATAGAATAAATACCGTTTGATTAACGAGAATATTCGGCACGATTATTGGTGGTCCACGCATACGATTGATGATTGTCACGTTGAAGGTACGACGTATTGTGCCCAGTGAATTGAAGACCTGGAATCAGTGAGGTTAACGTGGTTGTTCGCGGGCGTGCTCGCTGCGGATGTTGGGGCGTATCAGGGGCACGGGTTTGGCGCGCCTGTTTTCCAACAGTTGTTGAAGTGGACAAGCAACACAATTTAAGGAAAATGGACTAGCGCCGTGCCAAATCCGGCTCCTTGCCTCGCCTCAGCATCCATGAGAAAAAATGTAAGAGAGTATTGACGCTGTGGACAGAGAAGACTAGAAAGTCGCGAGCCACTTCCCTGCATAAGGCTCTCTTTCGCTGCGTGACCACTTGAATGTCTGCTGCCAAGGGGTGGGCTCTTTTAAAAGGAAGGAACTTCTGGGCCCTCTCTCCTACGTGGAATGGTATATACCTACGCTCCCTTATGATATACACCTACTAACCACGGTTCAATGCTGTGTTAATAAGATTCATTCTAATAATATGGATAAACTGAGAAGCGCTAACCTCGCACATATACTTCCCAGAATCGCTCTCCGCTGCATCCTCCATTTCCAGCATTCCTTTTCGAATTTTGAAGTCAGCACCAGTCATTCGTGGGCTAGCTTCGGTGATGATAGCACCGTTTTTGTGCCACACGACCTAAAACAGAGATTCCTGTATCGATTCAATGGAATCTTTGCATTGTTGTGGCAGGAATTAGCAGATGAGAACTGACTCTTGGCTCTGGATAACCAGTTGCTCGACAACTCAGCTTAACGGTTCGTCCTGCTGGAGATGCAAGGCTTCGAGCTGTTTCGTCGCCATCTTTGAATGTAGGTCTCACTGAAATCAATATCATTCTAGCAATTCTCGAAATCCCATGTCCCCAGCCCACTCAATTATTAACCCTTATTCCTACTTTATTCCTATCAGAAGTCAGTTCCAAAGCATTCCAGTGACCGGAAAATACTTTATTGATGTCAGCAAGGGAGTAGCGGTTGAGAAGAGGGAGGCAAACACGGTGCGGGCGACGCATGCGCTGAGGTGGGCGAAACAAATTCAGAATTCGCATGTCTGCCCTTTAACATAACTGAAGATCGGGAGAAGTAGGTGAAAGTGAGCAGTGTGTAAGTTGAGAAGATAATGAGACACAACGAGAATGGGCGGAGCTCGCGCCGGAGGTGGGTGAAACCAAAGTTACAAATTCGTGAGTCAAACGGTCAGCGACAAAACTGTATCATATCGTTCATACCAGCAGTTTCTGCCAGTTGTTTTCCACCAGTTGTTGTCGCTTGCCTGCCTTAACAGCTGGTGGAGAACAGGCTGGCGAGGAAGCCAACCTCACTGACACACCCCCTCTTCCGGGGCGAACAAGACTGCACCAAGGAAAAAGAAAAAGCAGCGAATTCTAGAAATTTTAAAAATACGGGAATAAAACCATATCCGAGCACAACTGGCTCTGTCCAAGATAGGGATGTAGAAAGTGCTCAACCGGCAGTCGTTGTAAGGACCTGAAGCCGTACCCCTCAATCCACCGAATGCCGAGAACAAGCTGCCCCTATTCTCACTGATACACTTCTCCTTATCAGCCTTCTATTAGCACAATTAAGATATTGTTATTTTTTGGATATCACTAAAGTTCCCTCTCCCCACTCTTCCGGTCGGCTACTTTCCCACACATCCGCAGAGCCGTTCGTATCGGCCTCGGATCATATGGGCTTCAGTGGCTTACACAAGGCCGACATGTCTATTTGTTTACACAGCCTTCCGATAGAAGAATCACTAAATGGGATTCACATTAATACGTATGTCTTCCGCACTATCCGGACTACAGCAGGACTACCAAAAAACCGAAACGAGATAGATGAGTAATAGATTTACGGCGACATACCGAGCTCTAAGGCTAAGGAGTGAAAGCCGTCGAGCTGAGAGGGTGAGAGTGGCGTAACGCATAGCACCGGTAGCGACAGGGCAGTTAGAGTCATACCCGAGGTCAAGACTATTGCCCATCACTCAGCATTTTTTCGATGTACTATTACACCGTAATTTCTCATAATAATCACTTTGACATTACTAAAGCCGTCATGGTTCTGCGCTGGAAACGACAAGTCAATAAGTAGTCAATTGTTCAAGTCCTCCATCAAAGTGCAACAAAATGAGGGACAAACAAATGGGGAGTGGGCGCCGGAGAAGGGCAACCACGCCTCATCCCTTCAACATATTTTGTGGACCAAATTGAAATTGTAAGCCCATACCTTCTGGTGGTGGTGGTTCGTAATTGACCTCCTTTTCCATAACCCGTCGTTTATAAGCGGGTATATTCGGCGTGGACGAGATGACACTAACAGGATGTTGCTTCATTTCACGAAGTCCATTAGGTGTTCTTCGCGTAATCTCCTCAAGACTTCGATCTGAAAATTGAGATTACGGATTCCGTATAGTAAGTAAAGAATCTACTAGGAAATATTCTGAAAATATACGTTAAAAATGGAAGACTTCGATCTGTTGGGCAGGCTCTGAACGTTCTGCGGTTTACCGACATATGTGCTCGGGCACTGCACACGCTAGTCGTATGGGCGGAGTCAGGCCTGCGGTCGCTTCCTTTTTCGTGCACCCTTTCTCATCCCCAAAGAAGAGGTGCGTCAGTGACAAATACACAGTGACAGGCTGTGTCTTTATGGTTACCCAAAGGCAGTTTCTAGGCTACGAGTAGCTGCTGTAGGGCCTTCGGGGCCTATGAAGGTGGGTGGGGCCAGTCAGCAGAATGAGGGCATGGGCGCACAACTATTCACTTGCTTTTGGGCCGCGAAAGTGGTCAACCGCTGCCAGTGCGAACCACTTCACCTGCACGCGGGGAAGAGCAGGTTGAGCCAGGGCACTGGTATCACTGGTTGGGGATTTTAGTCGAGTCCGTACTACCCCTCCCTTTTTTGGGGGTTGGTACGACCTTCCACATGTGAAACAGGAAAAGCCGCGAGACAAAACGACCCCCCCCCCTCCCTTCTACCAATTCTCAGATTTTCCCCAAGTTCCTGCCACTTTTTTTCAAATTTCCCGAAAACTTCCCTAGTTTTCCCCAAAAATTTTGCTGTCGAGCGGGGGGTATGTATAGTATGCATGGAACAAAAAAAAACAGGCCAAGTACGCGCGCCAGAAAGTAAATACGACCCCCCTCCCTCTCCCAACAAAGAGCAAGTAGAACCCCCCGTTCCCTCCACGAACGTCCCTGAAGCGAGAAAAATCAAGCGTCAAAATAAATTTTTCTCAGCCCAAATACGACCCCCTCTCGGCAAGTGAAGCCCCTCCCCTGTTAATCTCCAGCAACGGTGTGCCCTGGGTTGAGCTCACCTTTACGTTATAAGGAAAATACGCGTTCGAAAATGTAAAACAAAGTTGGGAACTTGGTAATTTCATGAACACACTGAATGCAGCTCAAAAAAATCAAGTGAGCCCAGAGCTGAGGTCAATGTTCTCTTTAGAACAAAGATCTTTTCATGTATGATGGGAAGTATCGACTTTAAAACCGAACGTAGTAAAATATTTCCGTTTACCATCATTGTAATCCTCAACAGCATTTTCAGAGTACATCTTTACAATTCGTCGAGCTCGTTCTACTTTCTTTTCAGCACTGAGATTACTCCAGTTCAGAAGCGTTTCATTAATTCGCATCATTTCATGAAGCGGTATGAGTTGTGGCAATAAGTATGCCACATTTGCTCCACCATTTTCGGACAGCCAATCGAATAACTTCACAGGATCTAAAGTGACCAAATGAACCTGAGCAGAACTTACATACCTTTGATTAGTGTTGCATGCACATGCGCAGAAGATGATGGCCGTACTGCCAGCTTTGTCGTCGATTCAACAGCGATTTTAGTCGTCTGTGTTGTTGTCGTTGACGCCGATGTAGTCGTTAACAGAAGCGGTATACCATACAAATCACACGGAGGTTCAATGCATGCAAGCGGATCTTTTCGCGATTTTCGTGCACGTTTCTCGATACGCGACGCATACTTGTTACAAGTAGTTGTCGTAGCTATTGAGTAATCGATATCGTGACGTTCCTTGTCGTTGGTGATCTGCCACAAGCAGATACATTCCATTGGGATTGAAGCCGGTGGCAATGCGAATGCAGCACCGGATCGCATAGCAAAGTAGTCGCAGAAATCTGAAATTTTCACACCATGCCAAACCATGCAGCACACTACAGTACACAAAAAGGAGCATGATGCCTAGAAAAGCCACCGTAACACGGTTACAATGCCTAGAACATTTGAATTATACTCCATATCTCGGAGATGGAGAGGGCGTGTTTCATTGCTTAGATGCGAAGGCGGCATTAGCTATACTCCCTATCTCTGAGACGGGGTAGGCGTAGCATTCGAATGTGACATAGAGTAGGTCACTCAAAAGATATTTCACTTTGAGGTAGCTGTCACCTTGTTCTCTATTAGACAGAGACACGACCACGACTGTTTTAAACTGAAAATATCTCACCAGAAGCACAGCCACCGCCATGTTCTGCTGGGGTACGTAGCCACGCCTATCCCATCTCAGGCCTACCCCGTCTAGTGTACGTACATACGGACAGCTGGCGATTGAATGAACCTCTCTTATGTACACGCTCTCAGCAACTATGACCGAATCGGCAACTGTCTGTCGCCGAAACCCTCTCGAGTCAGCTTTGGACACGTCCGCTCCAGTCCTGGTATGTGCGCTGATAGCAATGGATTTCCAGCAGAAATCGTCTTTCAAGGTTTTTAAGATTAAGCAGAACTATAAGAGCCATAATCGTGAGAAGGGGAAGGCGCTGTTTGGCCTATGGGGGGCATATTGCTTTTTCCTCTCGTTAACTAAAGTGCCTCATGTTGGTGATAACTTTGGACTTTTGTCCGGAGCTCATGCTATTGTACCACTTCACCGGAATCAACAGATCTCAGCAGGAGGCATCGGCTGGGACCGATGGGAACCAGCAGACCGCCCCCACCAAGCGAATCTGCACTGAATCTTTAGAAGGAGTCGGGTCGAAGGTTGTTACAGCTTCCGCGGAAGGAGGTAGGAAAGGTGGGTGCGTTGCTCGCGACTGAAGTCATCGCACGCTAGCATACCTCCTACCTTATTCTATAGACAGCAAGAAAAGAAAGCCGGTAAACCTAAGAGACGCAGATGCAGAAAGAATCGACGCACCGCAGCTGCTGCGTTGAGTGCTTTGGGTCCTGGTGCGAACGCTACCGTATGTGAGCCCTTCTCTCCTACTCGAGTGTATTGCTCCAGACCCGAATGTAAGGTGCCTTACAATCCATAGGTCGCAACAAGGATATCGTGGTCCGTACCTTCAGACTAAATTAGACCTTACTGCACCTAAGTATTCGATGAAACTGTTTCTAGAAATAGGAGGGCTGAAGACATGTCCTGTGTTGTTTCAAGGGGAGGGAGATATCGAAAGAGTCTTTAGGTCTGTTGCATTCCGCACTGGTACGCATCGATAAAGTGTTCTAGCATAGAAACAGGAGAACTGAAGACAGTCCTGCGTTGTTCCAAGGAGCATTGTGGGAGAGTCTTCAGGTCTGTTGCGTTCCGCTCTGGTACGCATTTCCGCCATTCCGAGAGGAGGGATCCATGTCAAAATAAGTCTTCGGACGATCAGCGCGAAGGACAGTTCCAAAAAGAGATATGCAATACAGCGCGCACACATATTTTTGCGCTTCACTCATGATTTTGTTGTAAAAAAATATAATGAAAATTCAGGGCATAGTCACCATATTACTGTGGCCACAAAAGAAAGATAGAACAGCACAAGAAATGAAAAGAGGCACACTCCATGCGAATTCACAATTTTCAACCCATGCTAACGTACCTATAATTTCAACAGTGAAATTCCGATCCACTTTTCCGAGATGGTTGCTTACTTTGCACGTCCATAACCCCTAAAATAATTACTGTTCGGTAAGTTATAATTAAAAAGCATTGAATGGTACTTATGAAAATGTTAATGGTACTACTTATGAAACTCATGACAGAAAAGCAATAAAGCAGTAAGTAGAGCAGGCAATACTTGGCAGTTCCATTAAAGACTTTGTTCAAGAAACAAGGGATTTTTGCGACTAAGTTTTATCAAAGTCTCGAAGGATTTTGGTTCAATATGAGCTTGAGTGGTTCCAGTACTGATATCGTCACAACCATTCGGGGCGGTTCCAGGAGATGTGAAGTGAGCCCACCGGGGGTGTCTCCAGCTTTGGTTGTTTTTTTTCCAAATCGATCACCAGTTGATCACCAGCGGTGGAGCAGGGCAGCCGAAATCGAGCTCACTCCCCCCCCCCCCCCCACCCCACACACGACGCCGCCCCGACTGATTGCGACCTTGTAAGCTATAAGTATGTGCGCTAATACGGGCCACCGAGAGAGCAAATTAGTGAACCCCATATGAACGATTGAAAGCTCGGTGAAGACTTTGTACAAGGAATTTGGGCAGTTTGTCAAACGGTGGATAGCTAATTTGAGTTGAAGGCAAGAGAGCATTGAGCCCATGATTGGCTAGCGTAGGTAGTCCACCAATAGCAAGCACATCCAGCATGCACCGCGTTCTCAATGTTAGGTATTAGACGACAGATTGCGCGGGATTACATTCCATTTTCGACATAAAGTTTTAGGGTTCAAGGTGCCAAAGAAAAGAGTGGATATAAGAAAGTAAATAAAAAAACTTTGGAATGAAAGTACCTCGATGAGTTTCTGAGAAGCTTTTTTGGAACATTCATAGGGTAAGGTAATCCCCGCCGAATGGACCAATCATTCAAGAAGCTTGGTTGCTATTGGGTTGGTAGAGGTCCTGACTACATAACCCTGGGTACATCGACAATGAAAAACGAACTGAAACCCTGTCAGCAACTGCTTGGACTATTGATATCGTCGGAAGCCGGCGGGGCGGTGTCAGGAGGTGGGGAATTAACCCATTTGCGGCACTATCAGCCCAGGGCACATCGTTGGTTGGGGAATCCCCAACAGGGGGGTCGTATTTGGCCTCCAGGAGAGGGGGGGGTCGTAGTGAGTGTGGCAGCCAGTAACGAGCAGCGCAAGTTGTCAATGTGCTGAGTCCTGCACAGCGAAACTTGCTTTGTAGAGAACTCGGATATGCAAAAAAATAGTACAAAACTTTCATTCATCAACTAATCCGAAATAACTGCAAATAATAATAAGATCGAACTATCATCTCGATATTCCTTGGTGATGTACAGTACAAACCAAAACTCTGTTCGCTGGCCACATGAATATGGCGTGTACCGCGCTCGCAGCTGCGCGACCAACCTGCTTTTTTTTCCGCGCAAGCGACAGGACTTAACCATATCGTTCGTAAGACGTTTTCCAGCAGTTGGTCTACCTTTATCGAGTCAGCAATTGGCAGAGCACGAATCTGGCAGCGTCGACAGGGACTATGTTCCATCATACGCAAACAGGAAAACACTGTAAACAAGCGCACAGGCTCGCCATGGACCTCTTTGAAAACCTTAGACACATTTGTTCGCCGGTGGACAGACATTACAGCAATTTACACCCATCCGCCAATCACTCCATTGCGCAGGGACCTCAGATGCCGCCGCATTGCCAAATCACGGGCGTATCGGCGTGCGAAACGAATTCCCATGTTCTGCTACCCAATCTCTCCAACTTATAAATGGCGTAACGGACTAACGTTCTTTTATGCGTTCCCCTTGTTATTCGACACAACGCTCACTGAAACGTAAACAGGAAATGGTTTTTCCGGCAGCTGAAGTGTTGCCAGCAAGAAATCCCATCGCTTAGCTCTCACTGAATCCCGAGAACAAGAAAACATCGAAGGTTTTTAAAAGAAACATCTCTCAAACCTCGAAACAAGTTCTGCATATTTGAAATGTCGTTGATTTATGCAAAAGAAACATATATGATTTCAAACCTCTAGTAGAGATTTGAAGTCACTTCCTGCCACGAAATCCCGGGCGATGGCAGAATTTACTGGCGTGTGATTTTCCTGGCGACCTTTTTAGTAAGATGTTCTCAGTACTATGTTAGAAGTGCAAGACCTTCCTTATCCGCACGGAATAACGGTCTCGGGCCATCTCCCCACAGTCCGCTTTCAGAGAGATGTATGGTCCTTACAAAAGACCACACCCACAATGTGCGTGAGAAAACTCGCGTTCGCACACATGGCTATCCTGCTAGAAAAATGAGCCCTCCTCCGATACCTCGGCCTTTATATCGCTATTGCGACCACTAGTTTTGCTCTCGATCGTATTAACTTAGCTTTGCGTATTTATGCTTGCTTTCTCGGTTATTTCGAATATCGATATACTTATCTCTTTGCTCATAATACTCGATACGCTCACAGTCGCGCCCCGCAGCAATTTTGCTTGGGGGGCCGCTTCAAGTGCTCTTAGGAGGAATTGCTGATTTCCTGATTTATGTTTATTTCTTTAAATCTGCAATTGAATTTAGCGATAACAGATTATGCTTTTGACTCGAGGAATGCTGGGTGAACCTAAATGGCATTTCTTTTCTATTCTTATTTTCTGAATTAGTGATAGATAATGAGCAAAATAGCGAGGGGGAGGGCCTCTATTCTGAATTGTTTACTTTTCCATTTTTCGCGGCTTACGTTTCTACACTAAAACTTATGAGTTATATGTAACCTACGGGAGGGGGAAGAAACTTCATAAGTTTAGGTGTAGGGGGGATCGTACCGAACCCTCAAAAAGGAGGGGAGGTCGTACAGGCTCGACCAAAATCCCCATCGAATGCTGTGCCCTGTATGAGCCATTGATGTTTTACGTTTGACCAGCCATTATTGGACACCCCGCCGAGGGGTGGCGAGCCGGCGAGGTGGGTCGGAGATATGGATTGTAACGAACTACATTTGTAATGAAATTTCAAGGGTTATTGATATTGTCGTCATTCAATAGTAATTTAAACAAAATCAGTATGAAATCAAGAGATAAGGAATTGAATTTCCAAAATACCACCCAGAAACTAATATAAAAACCTACCTGATCAGAGACTTCAACGGCTTTGATGTCGAGTGTCATATGCTTTTTGTTCTCACGAAACCGATGTCCAAATGCCTCTTTATTCAGTAATTCACCGTTTCGATACCATTTCACTTCTAACGGCGATTTGGACATAGCCAGACATGTCAATTTCACCTAAACAGTAATACTACAGTCTATGACATCACAGGAGTTAAAAATAGAAGTTACAAGCCAGCTGTGGTAATTGGGTTTTTTTCGCATTTTGACAATGATCGATCAGCAAGGAGTTCACCCTCAAAATCTGGTTTGAATCCGACAAAACGTGATATGCGCTTTTCGTTCTATGATAGAACATGATTGATCATCAAATGACTCCCAAACGATTCCATATGGATGACTTATGCCAGTCAGAGTTGTGGAGCCATCGTGTGATTGGGAGAAGCCAATAAGAAAGACGAGTGTTTCCTTTAAAGACCGTACGCATGAGAAAAGCGCACGAATTGTGCAAAACCGTACACAACGATGCGTTGATGTTGAAGGGAACTGGCCCGATAAAACGACAACTCGTACAGGGCTGATACGCCCACGACAGAATATTTTGTCCTTTAGCAGATGCCTTTTCCAACCAAGGGCACAATTATAGTGCCTAACCAAAGTGCAACATGCCGACCTAGACGCCTACATCAACCACCCGCCCCTAAATGGCCATACAGTCTCATCGACGCTCGTACTCTTTTTGCGTCATTCATGAAGCTCAGCTGATATGAAGCGTTGCTAGACGGCTATATGAACAGGGACAGCATCGTGATGTGTGAAATGATGGTGCCAGTACAACCCCCCCCCGCCCCCTCGATGGAGGGTCTTGGAACGACCCCCCCCCTCCCCTTCCGCAACACTTACCTTCCACTTTCCTACAAGTGCTCAGCTTCCTGCCAGTTCTTTCAGGACTTCCCTTATTTTCCCCTTTTTCACCCAAAGATTTTCCGCTGACCGGGGAGGGGGGGGGGGGTAAATAGCTAATGTGAAATGGGAGAAACCGCGAAAAGTCACCAATGGGATAAATTTTTTCTCAACGCGGTAAATTTTTCTCAAAGGCACATACGACCCCAGGTGTTTCACACAGCGATGCTGTACCCTGTATATGAATAATATACGTGCAGCCGAATCTATCGAAGCGGTTGTTGGCACAAGAACGGGGACCTCGTCCAAGAATGCTCGTCCAATGCCGTGCAGAACAGAGGCTTTTTGCAGGTTTTCGGTCGTTGGTAGGTTTTAGGTCGTTTTCATTATCTCCACTATGTACCAATCCTGCGGCTATTTTAAAGCAGGTACCAATTTATGGTCCCTTATACCTTTAAGTATATCTGAAAGTTAGTCGGATGCATACATTTACCCCCAGCCAACGATCTTGGACGGGTTCGTACATGGAAAAGGGTTTCAATCGCAATAGCGTATCCTAGGAGGCGGCTTGTTCTCAATCTTAACCAAGCCCTTTACCCTTCAAGACCCGCCAGTTTTTACCAGATTCGTGTGGGAACATATAAAACGGCAAGCAACTTGCAGAACGGCTGGCCTCACAAGCCATTGTATAACCGGGCTACATTGCGTTTAATAAGCCACTTGAATTCTGTGCATGCCGCATCCCAGAAAGGAATTCTCCGCCAGCAAAGCTCATCCCCTCCCTTATTCGTCGTTAAAATCGTAGTATCAACCAGGATTTAGTATAGGTGGTGCTCCCTGCTAGCTGTCCCACCAGCACGGTACCAGCGGAGGCAGGACCCAAGCCAGTAGGAGGCGGCATTGTAACAACCCACATTTCTCATTACTGATTTAAGATCGGTGAGGAAAGTGCCAAGCACCCAAATATTCCACGAAGGAAATAATTTTGCAAAAATTTCCGGATTCCTCTCACGATCTTCAGAGCCTTCTGCGGTACATTTGCATTCTCAAAGGCACGGTCCGCGATGAGGTATAGAAGTTGAAAATATGGTGTCGGGAAGGTAGTGTAATCCGCGGGGAACAGCCTTGTACCGGTTTCGTGGCTAAAATTGTAAGGGAGGGGCGCTATAACGCAATATAGGTCCAGTGACGCCTTCTTTTCTCCAGTGACTTCGCCTCCAGACTCTGCGTTCGAGGCCCGTCCTTCAGTGAAAACGAAGCTGCAGATCGAGAAAACATGAACATCGTCACTTGTACGGCCGTAGGGTTCTTATCGTGGAATCCGCTGTGCGGATTGGGCGTTGTGTTGGAGTTGGAGTAAATTGGGCACGTTTAAACTGGGATCGACATGGGGTTTATCTAGAGCAATTGGCATGCTTTTTCCTTCTACTTTTTCTTCTACGCTATCAAATTACACAGCCTTTGTCGTCTACATACAAGCCCCTATTCCACTATCTGGGATAACCAATAATCGCGGATAGGTAGGTTTTCGATTATTGGTTCAGCACATCATCAGCAGTCCTAGGAATCTAATAAGAGCCCGTCTGTGCGCCTGAATGAAGTTGTACCAGCCCCCGATGACCATGGATTTGATTGGTACCCATCGGTCACTTTCTCCAACGCACGCGCATACCTTGCTGGGTGTTCGCAAGGCCGACTGTTTCAACTTATTCCCCTGTCACCAGTCACAACGAAATTCCATCAATATCAAGATCACGTGGGTTGATAAGAGATAGCTACGGAGAGAAACCCTCATTCCTTCGATCTCAGTGAGGCCAACGACTGAAAACTGGTGCTCATCACCCTCACCTATTGCCCTGTCTCGAAATTTTCGGCGCAGTCGGTTGCGAACAGTTTTTTCACGTAAAATATTCGCTGAAATGAAAACGAGCGATCGGGTATGTGGCACCCAACGATGTCGATTTGATTGATTACAGACACCGAGAACAAGAAGAATAGAGGAGAAACGACTCCACTAGTCGATAATGGTTCGAACAGTACTTAGGAAGCGTTAAGAAAGGGCTTATAAAGCTTACTATTAACAAATCACAACAGAAGTGTACGTGACATTCAACAGACCTTATCACCGAGGAAAACCTCATGATTGAGTCGTTCGAAGGTTTTGAACCGTGGTATTCCATCTGAAAGGGAAACAATTTCAAGAACTATACTTATGTGAATAGATTAAATATTTATTACTCAAGCACACGCCCGGCTCGAAGAGTGCATAAATTTCCATTTTTAGCTTCAATTTCACTCTGATCCCTCACTTCTTTTTCTTTCATCGAATTCCCACAGTTTCAGCCAACGCTCTACTGTAGCTCTCCACTCAGCTCTACCCAAAACATCACGTTATAAGGTTCACGTAAGCTGCAGAACTTTATGAACTATTGTTACAACAAGGTTCGAATTGTCATTTTCATGCAAATTATGCTTATAACAATACCTAGGTCCTTTCCATGTAGTAAACAATACCGAGCAAGTTCACGTGCGGCATGCGTCACATGTCCGTACCCTACCAAATTGCCAACACATTTTTACGTTGCGGTGACTCACGGTAACAATTGAATATTCAGGTAACTAGTGAGCAAGCTGGTGTCAAATGCATATAAGGCCAGGAGAAGGGCAAGCTGTTGGCGGTTTTAGGCCCGACCTAGTTAACCTATGTAGTGGTCCCACCAGATGACTTCGAATCTCTGAGATGCGATAAGCGTGGCTGCGTACTTCATTAGGACATGGCGTAGGATGCTCATGCGTAGTACATTTTCTTCAAATTTACTCTGAGACAACTGCTATCTTGCCTTTTTGTCGAAGAAAAAAGTCATGGTTACATTTGTCCCAGAATGAAAATATCTCATTAAAAACCCAACCGCCGCCAACTTCAGTTGAGGTACGTGGCCACGCCTATGGCATCTCTGGGATATGGAATATACACACACGGATTTTGATTAACAGTGGAGAAAACTGCTCAGTCGTTTAGCCAGTCGTTAGCCCACACGTATATACAAATTTTATTCCGACCTGCAATGCGAGTTGAGTGATTACTGAACCTTCACCAAGTGATTTTCAAGCCCAGCTTCATCTTAATAGGCCATGCTTTTTCCTGTTTTCAATGAACCACCCTGTAGAAATATATAGACAAGACCGATCAGAATTCGGAGCAACCCCAGGCGCACTTCGGCGACGGGGAGGGGGGCATTTTGCACTTTCACTGTTTCACTACTTCCGGTTTACAAGTCTCACTCTGGTGAAACCTGTAAACTCTTGTGAAGCTGGATCAAGCTCGTCTAGCCACCATGATAAAACGTGTCGGCTCAAGAAAAGACTATCCAGATGGGTCGACACTTCGATGGGAAGCTAAATGCCCCCCCCCCCGGTCGCCGAACTGCGCCGAAACCCCCAATTGAATCATTGTGCTTTCTCCACCTCATCACGAAAAAAGTTGTTTTCTTGTTCAACATGTAAAGTACGGGGTGACCTACTCATGAGGCTACGACCTGGGCCTCGGCAACTATTTGTGAGAGTGCTTGTTATTTTTCTGATGGAGCTGCAACTAGAAGTTTGACAACCAACAACGAGTTTGACAAACAGTCTTACAACGAAATTTCAGTTCTATAGGAGGATCAACAGAGAACTTCAGTCTCGTGAAGGGTAGAAGAGAATTACTGAGAAGTAGCGCTACAACGTACAGTTTATCTCAACAATGCAGCAAGCCCAGGATCAAAGCGCGCCAGTGTCAATTCAACCATTCATCCCCACAACCTACGACAGTTGGCACCAGAATAACATGAAGGGAGAAGTCACTTCTGTGTTTCAAACGGTGGGCTAGTGTAAAACAAATACCCTTACATAAGGCACTTCAACTCTATAAGGAATCCGAGTGCGTGGCGTACTCCAAAAATGATTTATGTAAGATTCTCTTTTTTGAATAGTCTCAAAACGATCTGTGGGATCCTCTTGACAAAGCTAAATCCCTTAGACAGCATTTTTCAGATGCAGAAGTTTGCCACAGGGCGTTTCTCGCATTTTTTAGGGTAAGGAAAATACAAAAGCTATAGGATGAAGACTTCGCCTCAGAAGGACAATGCTTTCGCCTTCCGCCGAACCGGCCAGAGATTTGGTCTCTGTTCCTTATGCGTGGCAAGCAGGCCGGTTACCGGTACACTACCTCTACCTTAGGAAAAATATAGACTTCCCATAATGGAGTCCGCTAT